TTAAAGTAAAAATAAAATTAAAAATAATTTTAAAAATAAAATTCAGGTATGTATGAATTTCTGACTCTACAACTAAAAAAATATAATAAATAAAATATGTTTGGATAATTATTTGATTATCGTCTACGTCAAATTTAATTAAAAATTAAAAATAAACTAGAGTAAAAACTCCTTATATGTAAAGGTTAAGCAATATAAAAAGTTAAGGAAAGAAATAATTAAAAAATTATTTTACTCATAATTAAATAATTTTTTATTATAATATAATGAAGGCTATTTTTTTCACATTTTTAAAAATAAAAAGTACAATTTACCCAAAAGTTATTAAAAATTTTAAACTAATCAGGACAATAATTTTAAATTAGTAGTCTAACTATGATTAAATTAAAATATATAAAATATTTATATATGACCATGACTAAAGCAATATTTAAACAATTATGACATTAATTTATAAGTAAAGGAAACATTCATGAATAAATTATACATAATATAACAAAACAATAGCAGAGCTATAAACACAAAGTTGATAAGTTATTATTTTTTTATTTTGTTCTTTTGAAGTTAAAATATTATTTTGTGCTTAATAAAATTATTTAAAAATTAAAATTAGTTCAAAAAAATATTTTTAAAAGTTTTAAGTATTTGGGCCGGCCTGACTAAGCTTGAAACTCAAAGGTGTCAAGACTGAGTTTAACTATATAAGTTTTTTTTTTAAAGAGACAGGATATTTTAAACCTGATTTAAATAAGTTTAAATCAAATTGAGCCTGACCTGCCTGAATTAGCAGTCTTATCAAAAGTTATATCTGGTGTGAGGGTGGCATTGACATTCTGGTGAGAATTTCTCTGACCGTGATTTTTGTCCTTGCAATTTCTGTCCGAAAAAATAAAATAAATGCGAGAAAACTGGGGAAAAAATTGGATAGAAAACACGTAGGGAAAGGTGAGAAAATTTTTCCCGCAAAAAAACATTGAGAAAAAGGTATGAAAAAAAGTGAAAAATAATTAATGTGAATAAAATTTTATGAGGAATTTGCATAATTATGCCCAAGAGAAAGCTTACTATTTCTCTGACGAAAGAGAGAAATTTCTGTTTTCTAAAAAGAAAGAGAGATTTCTTTTAAGTTATCCAAGTGAGAATTTTTTTTTTTTTTGATAATCAAAGTAGGACAAAAACAAAAACAAAAACGAAAGAAGAGAATTTTTCTTAAATGAATCCAAGAAATATGAGAAATTTTCTCATGAAATTATATGAAAGAAATTCTTTCTCTAAAAAAACACTTGCTTTATAATTCACTCTATTTTCACTTAAATACTTATTTAATAATATATTTTTTTACAAAATGCCGTTATATAACCTATGCATTTTATTCATTTTTCTAATTAATAATAACACACACTCCATAATGCTCACAATATACGCTCACTTTCATGAAAAATTTTTAACAATTTTATTTGAGACATTGCTAAATACTTGATGTCCGTAATTTAGACATTAATTTATTATGTTATGAGTAAAGATGGATCTATGTTTAGCCTCATGCTGCCCCCACTAAAACCAATGAAGTCTTTTAGTTATAATAAGGGGAAAATTTCATTTGCCCCCTCCATAAAATTGTCATCCCCACCAAAAAAAAAAAAATGCTCTCGCAGTACTTCAGTTTCTTCTTAAAAAATTTTAGTTTTTCATGCATGAAAACTAATCCAATCAAGGAAGCTAATACTATTTGTATTGCTAATTGTATAGTAGGTAGAGATATGAATTTTGAGCAACTAATAAAAATTTTGGTTCATATTATATAAATATAAGAATATATTAAATATTACACAATATTTTTCTACTTGTAAAATAAAATATTAATCTTTACTTTTTAAGGTATTGTAAATTTTTTAATTTTTAATTTCTACTTAGTAGTGTGAGTAAAATTGAAAAACCATCTTTAATCCTTTATATTGAAAATATTTATTCTAAAAGAGTGTGATTCTTTTCATCAAGAAAGAGAATCAAAGTATGATATTAATAGCTACTCCATTTATCCTAATTTATAAGACACTGTGAGGCAAAATCACACATATAAAAAAAAGGTCATTAAATAATTTTACTAACTTATTTTTTCAAAACAAACATGTAAACTTTTAAAAATATCATTTATTTAATACTCTATTTGTGAAAGAATATTAAAGAAAAAATATAATGGGAAGGGTAATATTAAACAAGTATTATTAATGAAACTTTATTTTATCAAAATATTTTATATTTTAGGACACTAAATCTCCTTTAAAAATATAGTGTTTTATATTTTAAGATACTGAATCTCCTTAAAAGTGTATTATAATTTGAGACAGAGGTAGTATTAATTATTTTATAATTTAAAATATATTTTTTGCTTATATTAAGATGATTTTATTTTTAACCTATAATTTTATAGCTATTTTATTGCTTCATGATTTTATTTTTTATTAATTAATAAATAATTATAATATATTTTAAAATATTAATATTTATATTATATAAATTGTGCCCCCAGTGACAAAATTTTCTGGGTCCGTCATTGGTTATGAGAGACTTGTACTTTTCTTTAAACACAATCCTCATTGGTCTTGCAAGAAAACTTTTAATATATAGCAATTATATTTTCTCTCCGATAATTTTAAGAAAAAAGTTTACTTTCTACACGTTTCTTCTCTTCCCAATTCCACTGAGGGGACATCAGAAAGAAAAGTATTTTTATGTTAGATTTTCTTTGTTTTCTCACAAAATAATTGTAAGAAAAATGTGTTCTAGTTATAGTGCACCTTAGATGGTTTTATCTTTGAGCTTTTGAAGACAAAAAAAAAGAAAATAATAGTTATGAATCCAAAATTTATATGAATTATAGATAAATATTTTAAAAGAGAAAATATAATTAAATTACCACTTAAAGCACCTAAAATTAAGCTCTAATAATTTCTAAGATTTAAATTTACTACACCAAAAAACGTTGGTCCTAGTAAAAATTGGCTATTTGATAATACTGGATTTTTATTAGTCATATAAATTATGAGTCGGTAGGTTTCATTTTCCCAATAATTTAACACTTCATCCTTTGAAAAGTTTGGAGTTTCAAAAGCATAAATTGCTCACTCAACCATCCACGATGAGCCCAGCACTAAAGTATGCCCTCTTTCATAGCCTCACAGCTCTAAAGCATTAGCACCTAACACATAAATGCAATTTAACAGACCCACACAAACCCATTTCTGCTGAAGCCTCATCAAGACCCTCATATTCGTTTGATACTATGATATATATGTCTTACTGATAAGTATATCTGGTGTATTCATGTTTTGGTGATTGTCTTGGTGGGATCTAACTCAGAATTTTTCTGTATAAATCTTATTCTGCCCAATTGTTATTGGAAAAGTGGCTAATGCCTATTTGATATATGCCTGACTGGGTCCTGTGTCTTCTTCTGTAGTGACTTTCAGACAACCTATAGAGCTTCTGGTTCTTTAGAAAAAGAAAAGCACATGGATATCTTTTTGAGATTGAGTATTTTTTTCCCATGAGCTTAGAAAGAAGCGGCATAGTAATAATAATTTAATATATTGTAGGTATTCCCACCCAACTGGCAACTTCTCTCTTTTGTGTCTGCAAAGCGTTTGTCGAAATGTCTGTGAGAAGTATTATGATAGCTTCCTTAATTAAAAGCCTATTGAGCAATAATAGTTTAAGAAAACCATGGAGAATATCATTATGATGAGCAAACCAGGCCACTTGATAAGCATGGACCCGCAATAAACTCATCATAAGTTTGCATTACATTCATGGTCAAATTAGAAGTGCCAGATATGTTCAAGTATATACTTTATGCTACATACTCATTATCAGGCAGACAGATGACTCAAGTTAAGGCTTTTGTAAGCAATAGTGTTACTGGCTGTTCTGTTCAAGTATAAACACTCTGGCAATCTTAAAGAAGTCAAGCTGTACTAAGATGTTGAAAGCTGAGGCGCATGTGAATATCATCATCACCATCATGGTATGGTCTATGATGTACAATTGTTGGTCTTTCAGATATCAAGCTTAAAGTTCTTTCCTTTGATGCATTCTCCTTTATTAGAAGCACACCATTTGTTTGAAGAATAGTGTGTTATCCTGATTCTCTCTGTATTGCTTATATTGCAGGATTTGACAAGTTGAGCATGGGCAATGAAATGGGTAATAACAACACAACATCTGCTCTCACTGGTATTTAATTGGTTTGTTATTTCAAGTATTGAATTGAATTAGGTGAGGTAGAATTCTGTCTCTTTTGCTTTGATTATTTTTTATTTTCACTTCTGCAGTGGAAGATAATGCGAGTGAAGCTGAGAAAAAAGCTTTCAATGAGGAAGTTACAGCTGAGAGCATGGAAGAAGGAAATCAGAAAATCTCTTCTGCTAAAGGAAATGATGGTGAGACAAAAGCTGATGGATTGGCTTCTAACGATACAAGTGAGCCTGGAAATGAGATATTTAAAGGAGCTACTCTTGGAGATGGTGTGAAGGGAGAGAATCAGACGATTCCAACATGTGAGGCCAGAAATGAATTGGAAGAGGCTGCCGTGGTTTCTGATGATGCTATAATGAAACCTGGAAAAGATACACTTGAAGAAGATAGTCATGCAGATGCTTCTTGCGATGCAATAATTAAACCTGGAAAAGATACACTTGAAGAAGATAGTCATGCAGATGATATGAAAGAGCCAAATCAAACAATCCCAACAAGTGATGCTGAAAAAGATGAAGAGAATGCTAGAGGATTGACTACGGTTGAATCCATAAGCATGCTTGACAATGATTCCTCAAAAAGTGATACTCATGGAGATGTTGTAACCGTAGAAAATCAAATGCCCCCCGCAGTTGAAGCTGAAGGTGTTCTGAACAATGCTACATCACCGGCTTCTGTTGATGTACCAAATGCACTAGAAAATGCCATACGGGAAGGAAATGCGTGCGAGGACAGTGAAAATGGAGACCACCAAAAGCATCCATCCACCGGAGGTGAAATTATCCAGGAAAAAGCTGAAAGGTTTGGTTTAGATGATAGAATAAGTGGGCTTCAAGATAAAGCACAGAAAAAAAACATGATAATGATGAGCAAGGTGAAAATGTGATGGATCCTATTTCTGAAGACTTAGATGTTCTGGGAACAGTTACCAACTTGTCTTCTGATGATCAATCAAATGTGAAAGATTCCTTTTCTGATGCAGGCCAGTAGTTTCTTTTTAGATGCTATATTTCAAGAAAATAAAAAATACTTAGTATCATAGTTTAATGAATATTTGGAATTCCAATCTGCAGGGCAACAAATAACTGAAATCATACAAGTTGAAATGTCTCCAAATGCTGGATTAGCAGACACTAGAGGTGAGAACTGTAAAATCCTGTCAAAATTTTCACTGGAAGGTACTGAGGAATATGACAAGCAAATGGACTTATATTTGAAGAAGAATCACCTGGTTATGTATGATCATCACATTGATAAAGAGTCTTCAATCAAACAAGGTTAGTCCACTTCACTTCTTGACGTTTTCAATGTCATGGCCTTATTCCTTCTTATATGATTATATGTCACATTACATCCAATTTCGGAAAGTAAATTATAATTATACTCAGAAGAATCTAAATTATCATATTCAAATGCGAAGACTTGAACTTGTGATCTCTGTATTTCCTTGCTTTTAGTTCCTGCAGAGGAAGAGAATACTATCGCTTTAACATCACATGAAGTAGAACTTCAAGAACCGTCACATACACATTCTCATCACGATGAGCTTGTTGAAGTTCTTGAAGAACAATCACTCCAACACAATGAATCACTGCAAAGAAGGGATCTTCTGGATACTGATACACTCCCTTCCATGGATGATGATATCAGTTCAGATAAAGAAAAGGAAAAACATGAAAAAATGTTAGGCGGAGTCAGCACTGATAGTGGAGATGGAGATGAATCAGGGAGCAGTGCGGGATATGCATCAGAGATAACATATAATTCTTCTAGTATCGATGAAGAAAGCAATTGCAGCCGATTGTCCGACGTCGATCATATTACTGATCTTTCCATGGATTCAACACCAGAATCTGATATGGTGGATAACCGACTAAAGTTTGACAGTGAGGACAAGGGCAAGGAACATCAAGAAGAAAGAAAATTGAGCATAAGTGGATCAGAAATGGAGAATTCACAAGATTTTGAGGCTGACCTCCCTAATGGAGACTACAATGGAGATGGGAATGCAGTTCTTGCTCCGGGTGTGTATGGGATTAGTGACCTTGATCAAGTTGAAGAACCCAAAGTTACTGAGAATGGACACCATTTTGTTGTGTGCATTAATAACAACAGAACTTCAGACGAAATTAGCACTACTCCAGCTCAAGAGGATTTTACGGTTCCTGAAGCTGAAGTAGATGAAATTATCTCAGGCTCAACAGTCGTAAATTCCAGACCTGAAGATGAAGAAAATAATGAGGAGAAGGTTCTTGAAGAAATAGACAAAAGGCCAGAAGCTTCACATACCCTGTTAAAAGGTTTAGATTTTTTAACTTCAGGTCCGAAAGAATCTCAAACCCTGCAGGATTCTTCTACGTTACATATCCATAGTCACCAAGAGGACAACGTTAGCCAAGGCACGAGCTTTACTTCTACTAGCCTGCAAGCTTCAGATTGGAAGCAAGAAAATGGAAGCAAGTCCCTTGGTGGCATAGGTAACAACCTTGATTCTTCAGATTTGACTGTGCCAGCTCTGGACATAGTTGATGATGAAGCATTTGAGAAAGAAGAGAAAGACTATTCCGATCAAGCAGAAGCAGCTTCACTAAAAGAAGCAGAAATAATAACTTCAGAAGCCAATCTGTTCAGTGTTCCACTTCTTAGCAATCCTGTATTTGCAAATGGAGCTCATGAAGTTATGGAGAGTACAACAAGGTATAGCACGGAATCAAACCCTGAGAATCCAAATGTCTCTTGTCTGATGCAAAAATCTCCAAGTTTCAATCTCAATCTCCGAATAGAAGTGTCAAAGGAAGAATCAGATCACATTCCTTTGCTCCATCAGGGTAAGACTGCAACCGAAAGTTTGTCAAACCAGAGCATTCTAAATCTTATGCCTTGCACCGAATATGAACAACGCGTAGTACAGCATGAAGAAGAAATGCCAGTGGAGGAGAAAATAGTCACTATGGAAAGAAGTTACTCTGAAAAATTCCATGCTCCATTCTTAGGTCTCTTGAAAGAAGAAGAAGAAGCTCATCTTCTTGTCATGCCAAAGAAACAAGAAAACCAAGCTGGTAGTGCGAAGGAAGAGAAAGAAATGGATCATAATTTGCCTAAAGGAAAAGAAAAACGCAAGCCAAGGCCTTCATTCTTCAGCAGCTGCATGTGTTGCGTGACTTTGACAAACTAAACACACTTACAGAAATTGCTTATATGAGCCTGCTTCAGTTTTTCTGCTTTGTTGGTGCTGAGTTCTGAGTTCTGGTTCTGATTTTTTTTTTTTCCTTCCTTTTTTGGAACTGAATTTTTAATGTGAATTCTGAAGAGATATATTGGTTTGCAGCATGGTGAGATGAGTTAATTTTCACTTCTTTCGACAGACTTCATAAAAGTGGAAAGAAGAAAGAGTGAGGAATTTTACCGAGGCAACTTTATTTTCTCTTTTGATATCTGATTTTCATATTTGTAACTAACAAGGACATGCCATGTTTGACACATTTAGACACTTGTACTGTGGTTCTTTTAAGCTGTGCTTGATTTTAAGTTTCGAAGCAATTCAATGGATGTTTGACCCAACGAACATAGAGACATGCTTTTATAATTTGATGTGCTGCTTTGGAATCCTCACTAGCTACCAACAAAACAAACACAAGCTTGATGGTTTTGAAATCTGTTCAAATTAGAAACAACAAAATTAGTATCTGATGCTTGCAATCATAAATTAATGTGCATTGTCTACTCGCATCGCTCCACCTTCGGGAAAATTACTAAGGTTGTATAGAAGAAAATTTAATTTTTAAAAAGTCCCACGAAATGCAAAAAGAACTCTTCAATCCCACAAGCCTTAATTGTAAATAAGATTTGGTGTATATTTATCAAAATGCCCTTATTAAAAAAAACTCTCCTAATGTTCGTTTAATCTTGGTAAGGGTATTTTTGTAAATGTACTCCAAAACTTATTTATAATTAAGACCCATAAGAATTCAAAGTTACTTTTATTATTCATGTGACTTTTTTGGAAATTAAGTTCCTTCTATAAAACCTCTTGGTGATTTTCCCATCTTTTTATAATAAATCGCTGGTGATGACGGAAAAAATGGGAAGAAATAAATGTGTGGTGTGAGAAATTGAGAAGTTGTGAAATCTCTTTCGTTAAGCTACTTTAGCAACACATTCAATCAGATGAGACTAATTAAGCTTTCCCGCAAATTATATTGACTCAAATGATATTGTCAAAAAAAGAGAAAAGAAAGAAAGAAAGAAAGAGACAGAGACACGTTCGACAATTCGGGCGGAAGAAGTATGGACCACTCACAGTCCCTGAGACACCGTATTACAGCTCCATGCATTCTTTGGTTCAAAAATTGCCTTTTTACTTTTTGGTCAAACAAAAAAGTTCTTTTCCCAAAGAAGAAATCAAATCGATATCAATACAAAATAGTAATAAAAAGGTTTTAACAAGTCTTGTTTGCGCGTAAATTATTCCCCAAACTTTCAAATATAAAATCCCATAACTTTCAACATCACATCAATGATCAAACAATGTCAACATTTAAGTATTTTATCTCTGCGCGTTTTGTAAAAGCAAATATTACAGTTGCTTAAAATTGTGTGCTTTTTTTTATAACTAAAACTGCATGATCAAGTGGAAGATTCTGTATAATTTTTAGAAAACAGTTATTAAAATATTTTAAAATTTTATAATTAGTAATGTTTAGTATACGAAAATCAGTTTCAATGATTTAAAGTTGTGTTTGGATGTGTGAATTTAAATTGAGAATTTAAATTTAAAATTTAATATTTAAAATCTCACATTTGAAATTCATAGATTATAAATTCTTCATTTGAATGATATAAAAAATTTTAAATTACAATATTAAAAATATTTGTTTTGATCTAAAGTAAAATTTTAAATTTTAAATTTCATATTTGAATTTAAAAGAAACTTAAAAAAATTTGTTAAACTCAACAATTCGAATGACCAAACTTTTAATGAGATTAGACAAACAAAGTTAATTGGGACTATGGCACGGTGACAACCGAGACGGGACCTCCGACTTCTACTGGGACCAAATCGTGGCAATGATGCTGATGGAACGGTTGACTTCCACCGAGACTGGACCGATAGCGACGATAGGGACCGACGACTGACTTCCACCGAGACCAGACCGACAATGGTGATGACGACGAGGGCTAAATTGTCAACTTTCACCCAAACCAAATCGACTACTATAACAGGGACGAGACAGCCGACTACTACCAAGACTAAACTGACGGCGACAACAAGGACAGGACAACTGACTACCACCAAGACTAGACTGGCGATGACGATGGAAACCAAATGGTCAACTTTCACAGGGATCTGGATTAGACTGACTGTGACGACAGGGACTGGGCAGCTGACTTCCATCGGGACTGGACCGACAGCTACAATAAGAACCTAACAACTAACTTCCACTGAGTTTGGAATGATGACGACAGGCATCAAATGGTCAAATTCTATAGGGATCAGATTGACGGCTACAATGAAGACCGGATGATAGACTACCACCAAGACCGGACTAGCGGCGATGACGGGGACTAGATAGCCAACTTCTACCCGGACCGGATCAACAGCTACAACGAGGACTGGATGGTCAACTTTCACAGGGATTGGACCAACAGCTACGACGAGGACCGGAAGGTCACTTCCATCGAGACCTAACCGACACCGATGATGGGACAGCACGGTTGACTTTCATCGGGATCGAACACCAAAAATGGGGACCGAATGGTTGGCTTCCACTGACACCAGATTGGACCAATAGAGATGGCTACCAAACTGAAGGCATGGCGACGAAAGGCGATTGTTTGGTCCTTATCAGGTTAATGTTGGACTTTCGATCCTTGTCATCAATGTAGGTTTAGTTCGGTGGAAGTCGATCGTCCAGTTTTGATTGTCGACATCGATCCGGTGTCGATGGAAGTCGGCCATTTGGTCCCCATCATTACCTTTGTCTGATCCTAATAGAAGTCGAACGTCTGATCCTCATCGTAGTCGTAGGTCTGATTTCAGTAGAAGTCGGCCGTCCAATCCCTATCATCCTTGTCGATCCAATCTCCATAGTGGCCATCAGTTTGGTCCCGGTGGAAGTCAATCGTCTAGTTCCCATCCTTATCTTCGGTCTGGTGTCGGTGGAAGTTGGTCGTTTGGCACCCGTCGTCATCGTCGATTTGATCCCAGCAAAAGTCAACAGTCCATGCCCCGTCATCATTATCGATCGATACCTAAGGAAGTTGGCCATCGAGTCCATCGCTATTGATCCAATCCCGGTGGAAGTCAATCATCCTGTCCCAGTCAACAGTGATAACTTGTTTCTGTCAAATTTGGTGGTTCAATCTAATTACTATTAGCAAGTCGATCAAGCCTTCATGCATTTTGGTCAAATTATAAAAAAGCTTGAGTTAGAATTTGAAATAATAAAAGTTTAGAAAGGATTTCAAATTACAAAGAGATTAAAAGAGAACTTAGATTTGGATTTGAGCGAACAAATTCATACATTTTTAGTTATTCAAATAATAGATTTGGCTCAAATTTAAATATAAATCTAAATTCATGTATATCTAAACATAGCATAAAGGTAATTCGACTTATGAGATTTTATATAGTATTGATTTTTGTTAAATTTTAGATCCATATATAAATGGAAAAATGTATGTACAATCCCAACAATTTTTAATTTATCAAACTAACTTTTTAAAAAATTATTTAAACACAAATTTTATAACAATAATTAATTTTTACAAAATTAATTTTTTATTAAATAAACTTTTAATAAATGGATTTTTGATCAATTAAAAAACCAAAACCAAAAGACATACTCCCTCCATTTTAAATTATAAAATACTTTTAGAAAAAATTCAATGTCTCAATATATAAAATATTTTGATAAAAAATAATATTTTATTAATTATATTTTTTTAATATTATTCTTACCATGTATATTTTCTTTCCTCAATATTGTTTTATTAATGAAGTATTAAATAAATGATATTTTTAAAAGTTTATATTTTTATTTTAAAAAATACATTTGTAAAGTGTATTTAATAAGTTTTATTTATATATAAAATTTTATTTAAAAATTTCTTATAATTTAAGATCAATGGAGTTCCTTGATATTTGAGAAAAAAACTGAGCTTTAAAAAACATTGACTCGGGTGAAGAGGGTTTGGTGAACAAGGTGACTCGGGTTTGTACAGCCTTGTTAATGCCTCAGTGGGCCCAAATGTAATTGGACTTGGACGTCAGGACAATGAGCTCTCGTTTTTTTTTTTTATTATTTTAACCAAAAATGTATATTCAGAAGCTCACTAATGTTACGGTAAGACAAAGCTCAGCTTTTGGAAGATGACTTTTTAATGGGAAAAAAGGGAAAACGTATTTGTGAATCCTTACAATTTTATTTAATTTTAAATTAAATTTTTACAATTTATTTTATTTTAATTAAATTCTTATAGTTAATTAATTAAATTTTTTAATATCTGAAAGTTAAAATCCTTACATTTTTTTAAAATTAAAAAATTTTATATTTTTATTAAATGATTATATGACTTTAGAATTAGTCATTTAATTTTTATAATAAAAAATTTATATAATTAGGTTGTCTTTTAAATATTTTTTATACATATAAAATTTTCATAAACAATTATAATAAAAATATAAACAATGGATTAAATCAAATTTTCTTTTTTCATTTTTGGCTAAAAATATTAAATTAATTTTTTTTTAAACTCCAATAGTATTTTTTTGTAAAATTTAATAATTTATTATTAATTTTAATCTTCAAGGGTCAATATATATAATAGATGAAGCTATAAGGGCGTGATTGAAATAAAATAAACTGCAAGGAACTAATTTAAAATTGAGTAAAACTGTAACGACCTGCAAGTATATTTTTTCAAAAAAAAAAAGAAAAGAAAAAGAAATAAAGTAAAACATAGAGAGAATTTCCCAACATATAATTCTTGCCAGCGCGCGAAAATCAATTATCATCAAGTAATACTATGAATAAAGTTAAAATTTGTAACTTGTAGCGTTTTAGTATTCTCCAATAATTCTTACAAAAGGATCATGTTAAAGGAGATTTTTCCCCTTATTTAAAACCTGAGATGCTTGCTAACAATGGTTGAATCTGGTGAAAGGAACTAATTTTTTATAATGTAATCAATTAAGATTTAAATTCTTAGTAGATGTTATGCTTACAATTAATTATTGACTGTATTTTAAATAAAATTATTTTTAATAAAAAAATACCTATTCACAACAAACAAAAGACGAGGTGTTCTAACAAAAATAAAAAATGTGAGAATCAAAGGTTTTGTTCTGGCTTCGTGGGGATTTTTTATGGGGTTTTGAACGGGAAGTGTTGGTAGGTGAGGGGTTAGTACCTCCTAACTGGATGAGCTACGGGCTTCACTCATATCCAATGAAAAGTGGAGCATGGGACCACCAAAAGATTCTACCTCCAGGGTGATATATTAAGAATATAATATTCGTACTACTGTTTATTTGTATACTAATTTTAATTTTAATTTTATACGATAACTATCACAATTTGTCATTAAGTTAATTTTTTTTTTATTTTGTGGTGTCATTTTTAACAAGAACATTTTATCGGTTGTACCTTCATAAATCACAATGTCATCCCCTCAAATAACCTTTTTGAAATTTTCACCTGGAAGGAAAAGATAACTCAATAAATACACACACAACTTAACTAATAATCTTTTATCAATTATATACATGATCTTGATTTGTTTGACCAGTGACTCTGAAATTATATATATATATATATATATATATAGTGCATTAACCAAATATTTTACTTTTATTTCTGCATATTTAAATGTCTAAGGAAGAAGGTGAAGATATTTGGCACCATTTCTCATAATTTTTAAAGTGAGAAAACTATTACTTACTTTTAATTGTATTAGTAATAAGCAAATTGAAATACAACTTCCATGGTCCATCGTTCTCAGTTCTCTCTTCTTCGTTCATCACCGACCTTTCTATCCTCTTCTTCCAGCTCCACCGGCGACAGCCACTTCTGCCGAAAATTGATCGGCCGGGGACAGGTTGCCGACGGCCTCTCCGTCTGCCCCTGCAACACCGGCCTGCTTGCCGTGAATATAAAGGACATGTCTATATGATTCCTCTGGATCTCATTTCTGGTTTCCGTTAATTCCTTGTTCATCTGAATCTTGTTTCTGGATTTGTTTGTTTTGTTTCCGGTTCGGCCGGCTGGTTTATTATCATTTCTGTGTTGATTCAGGATGATCGATTGAAAGACGGCGATAAGATGAAAGAATACCGGGAAAAACTGGGGAAATAATGTTAATAATTATTTGAGGCTATTTCGTGATAGTTAATAACAGATTTAGGTAAGGTGGGCCTATCTTTCACTACTAATTATGGTTCTCAACATCCAACGATGTCGGAGCGCAGATACCTAGTGGTGGCCGGTGGTGATCTGCGGCGGTCGCGGTCGACGGTGGTCCACACGGTGGGAAGACGGGGAAATCATCAAGCGCGTGTTGTTATGACCAACATGAAAACTTGATAAAAGCTTATTAAATTACAAGATCGGCTTACAAACAGTGAAACAGAACAAGAAACCACTAATTTATTGATAACTAGCATCCAGCTAAACACTGGAAACAGAGACCACTTTCCCTTATTAATATCATTCTACCAAGTACTGGAAAGACACACATAGAGTTTTAAGAGACAAAGGAGTGAAGGGAAAGTTGAAATGACTGGTACGGACGAAGAGGTTTAAGAACTATGATTTTCAGATTTTCATGGTCTTGCCAGGCGGCGGCGGCAGCGGAATACGTTGATAGACCATGTTTTTTCGGAGGATATTGATCTTGTCGGTGGTGAGGCTAGCTCCCTGCTGGGGTTGAGGTTGAGGTTGAGGTTGAGCCATTCGCATTCGATGAAGTGTTCTTGGCAGTGGCAGATGATGAAGAAGAAGAACCACTTGTTGATGAAGTGCCAAAATAACTCCCATAGCTCAGGCTTTCTCTGATGGGATTCAATAGCTTCTTGGAGTCACGCTTGCTATTCGAACTCATCCTGCAATAACACAAATTATATGAGACAAATTAACTTTCTCCATGAAGTAGTTTTATATATGACGGTTTTAAATCAGAAAGTCATGGTGCAATTCTCAAGATAATTCCTAGGCAAGAACGTGACAGAGCAGTGACTACTGTGACGGCAGGCCACGGAGAGGAGGAGACGGCGGCCGTTGATTTCCGACTACAGATGATGGTGGCAGTAGGGTCAAAGGGTTGGATCGATTCAGAAACATAAAGGTGCAGTTTCATCAACACAACAAGAAGCTAAAACAAAGAATGAGACGATCCAGAGACGATCCAAAGATGATAGATTGAATGAATCTATATATATATATATATATATATATAGGGGATGAGCCTACCTGCAGGGCAAGCAACGGCGGCCGGTCGATCAGTTGTTTATTAGTTTCCGGCGTGTGTCTGCGTGGGTGAGTGTAGCGGCCTTTGGGAATAGAGGTATATTTATAGCCGGAGGGAGAAAGACGTGAAGGTATAGGGCTCTCTGTAAGATTAATATTGCATGTGTCAAAGGCTAATTGAACAATGTTTTCCCTAATCCAGACTAATTTCAGTCTTTTTGAAGCCAAGTTGTGACCACCTTACAAAAGCTTTCCCCGTAATTATAATCACTTAATTAAACAACTCACATTTTGGCCCAAAAAAAAAATTAAACAACTTACATGAGATTGATCAATCAATTTAATTTGGATAATAAACTCGTAACAACTGAGATTGCGGTATACTAATAAAATAGAATTCCTATTAAATGCAATTTTATTTGAGATATGATCAATTATTAAATATAAATTTTTCTATTAATAATGATTCAAAATAATCTCTCTCTGTGTTTTTTTTTTATCCTACTCAAAATAATCTCTTTTACTAACGCAATCATACTCGTTGGTTAATACAACGGTAGTACAATACTTGAGTTACATTTTACAATGCTGAAATTTATAGACCCTAAGTTCATAAAATGAACAGATATAGATATTTTAAAATTTATTTTTTATAAACTTAGGTATTAAAATAAGTTAATTATGATAATTAATAAGTGAATAAAAATAATTTGTTAATCAATTGGTCGGCCATTATTTTTTATTATTATAGTTAATATTCTGCCGCAAACGTTGAAAAATAACAGAGAAACAGAAGAAAGGGGGGACGTATGGTGAAAGAAAAGCAATAATGTATATAACAGGTAAGATCGTTCTGGGTTCTAACAGCCGAAGTTGGAGTATTTTGAATTAATCCAATTAAGACATACAATAATGTATATATACTACATCATCAATGAGTCTTTGTTATTTACTTGCATTAATAAATAAATTATGTATTTTTTTAATTAAAAATTATATACTTTATCATGTTTTAAAAAAAAACCATCGGAATACTTTATCCACCGAAATCTGTCGCCTCTTTGACCATTCTCCACCACGCATTGCTTTTTTTTTTTTTTTGGTAAGAAAAAGATGTCCAAGGCCTACAACATACACAAGGCTAGGCCACGCATTTCATTTTAATAATAAGAAGATAATTGATTTATGTTATAAAAATATTTATATATCTTTTTATGTCATCCATCAAAGCATTGAAAAATACAGGGAAAATCATAAAAAAGGACCTGCAAAAATGAAAAATAACCTTTTGGGACTCCAGGAAGTTAAAATTAAATTTTAGAACCACGGTACTTTTCTATAATAAAAATTTTGTGGGACTAAAATACCCCTAACACTATCAATGGCTTGAAGCCAAGATAAGAAGGGCATCAATAATATCTATTCCAAGGAGCTCCATGGTCCTTTTCTATAATAAAAATTATTTTGTGACTAAAATTTCCCACTCAATATTAGCAGGTTTTTCAAGTTTAGAAGTTATAATTTCTAACTCAAATGAAATGATTTTCAACCTCATTTAACAGCTCTCTTTTTAGCCAAAACAAAACTTCATTTAATTAAATTTACAATCTAGTTAAAGTGATTTAAATACCAGAAATTTGAAAGTTGGCAAATTGCAAGTATGAGCAATGAGTTTGCAAGTAGATTTAGTTTTTTTCTTGTAATGCAGAAATGATATGTTATATAGACCAAAATGTTGAAGATATATACTAATAAAAGAAGTTGATACTTAGGACTTCTATATTGAAAAATTACTATTAACATGTCACACACATTGCACTAAATATATATATATATATATATACTTCCCCTCCGATTTTATTTACACACCATTTTTGACCAAATCACAAAAATTTTAAAAAAAATTAAAACTAATTATTGTTTTGATTTTTATCTAAATTACCCTTGGTTAAAACCATTAAATTGTGTGTGAAGCTCTTTTCTTCTGATATATTAATAAATTAAAGGACATATCCAAAAAAAATATAAATTAATGTTTCATATGCTTTGCAAAGTGATTTATACTAGAAAATATATATATTAAAAAGAAATTTAAAAACTATTGCTTTTAGTAGGTGTTTTATAATTAGGTTTGGAAGAGAATAAATAAGGCATATTTATATATTGTGGATCTGAGGATAGCAATGACATTATCCATTACAGGAAATCCTCCTATTGGTTTCATTACTGCATTGTGTCCTCTGGGTAGATACTATAATTTCTTTTCCGAAGATTGAAGTCCTTCACTCCTTTGTGGTGTCGGTCAATTTATTCAAAGACAAAAAAAAAAAAAAGGAAAAAAAAGACCTCTAGAATGTTATGTGACACCCACATGAAAAACAAATATTAATTTTTTATTGCTTATGTGTCTTTTTAGAATGTTGTGTCTTTGCTCCGCATGTGACAATTAGAGTAATCAACATCGGTAGGTATTAAACATACTCAACATTTAATATCAGAAATTAACGAATGTCAGAGCAAATTAACGATTTGTTCACTATTATATCAATTTAAATAACGTTATAATCACTCATTACTTTTTTCATTTTAGGATACTAAATATTCATGGTTGATAATTTTATGAGTACTTGTTTCTTCTTTATCCTTAAATCAAACGTGTTAGGGTTTGACTATGAGGCAGGAAAATGACATGTATTATAGATTTTCATTTTATTGGGTATGAATGAATGAGCTGTTTAGTATGAAATGGATCATCTCTTTTTTTGGGATAAAAATAAGTTTTGGATTGGGTAGATGCTGATAAACGACTAGGGTCAGGGCAGACCTCCCAACCTCTTTAAGAATTTGTGGGAGGAATTACAAATCGCCCACCAACAAGTGGCTCACATTAGTCAACATGATCTGAACCTTCACCCTTATGGGATAAAGGCTAAGTTCTTGACCAACTGCGCCACACTTTCGTTGGCTAAATTTAAACACACACTTAAGTAACAAAGCAAGGTTTGAACCTTGGGAGTTAGGCCCGCAGGGAAATGATATTGCTGCTGAGACAACTTGCTATTGACGAAATGGATCATCCCTTCATCTTTAATTTATTCGTCTCTTTTATAAAAAAGTAATAATTAATTACTCTCCCCTCCTAATTTATAAAACATTTTTAGGGATGATTTAATATCCCAAACTATAAAACATTTTAATAAAAATAAAATTTCATTAATTATACTTGTTTTAGTACTACTTCATTTCTATTTATAAAAGAAACTACTACTTTTAACTTGTTTTTTTATATAAGTAAAATCACATATTTTAATAAGTTTTTGTTACACATTTTTTAAATTGTCCCTCATAATTTACATTAACAAGAAATAATTAATACATACTTATGTTGATGAACATAGGGCATTTTAATCTAATTTTTTTATTTTCAGACATAATTATTATGATTAACTAACTTTTTTAAATTGTGTTATACAACTTTTTTCTCTTATATATAGAAATGAAGGGAGTATTATCCTTCCCTCTTTATTATATTTTCTCTCTCTATTTAATTCTTCACAAATAAAATTATATTAAATGAAGAGTGTTTTTAACAATTTATATTTATATTTTTTAAAAATAAAATTATAAAATATATTTAATAAACTTTATTAATATGTCTAATTTTATAAAACAAATGTCGTATAAATTGAAATTGAATGAGTAACTAATAATTAATAAACACACAACGACTAATGATTAGGTCGAAGACCAATCAACCCTTTGTATGCTACTTTCTCCATCCCCTCACCCCTCTTTCTCTCACTTGGACTTTTGTTTAAAACAGTGCCGACCACTTCCTCAATGATTTTTACTCAAATTAAATATCACTTGTAACTTTTAAATTAAATATTAAAATGTTACATAAATTTCATTATTGTAACCTACAGAAATTTATCATTCTTCAAATACCTTGCATTCAACGTATATAGGCCTCATAATTATTTTATATCAACAAGTAAAAAAGAAAATGGCGGGTCTCTGATAGAAGAAGAATTTTGTTCTTAGAAAAAATCAATAAAAAAATGGTCTTCAATCCTATTTTCTATTAGCAGTGCATAATGGTCTCCTTTCATATGCACAGATCAGATTAATCAACGGCTCCATGTTGTATATTCCTTGCTTGAAATTGTTATATGAGATTAACTTATGTTTTGTTTGAATTAATAAGTATTTGAATTTTGATTTGAGCCAATTCTTAAAAATCTAGGAATTTTTTATTATAATTCTTTATCATTCAAATTCCCTGTATAGTTTAGTTATTTGAAATTTTAATCACTTCAACTCTTTCATTTTCTTCATATTTTTATTATTGGTGTCTATCACTCTCACGTTTCTCTTGTATCATATAATTAACATGTTCACACAAAGCATTAATTCCTAATTTAATTTCTTTTTTTGATATCTGATCGGTGTGATCTACATACACACCAAAATGCATGGACCATGTCTGATTAATTTCATAAGAAATATATGTTTATTTATTGCTTTTCAAATTTGAATTATTTGAAATCCAATCAAGATGAAAGTAGGCGATTGCTTGTTCAGCAATAATTATTTTCTGGTGTAAACTCAAGATATATGAAGTGATTCTGGTCCGCGAGACTTGTCAAGAAACAAATAAAAATATATATATATATATATATATATATGATTAATAATTATTAATTAGAAAAAGCTACACTGAACCAATCTGTGGTGATGTAATAACATGTTTAATTTTCTTGTTCATACGTTGACCAGACAAGCTGTTTTGAATCTGTGAAGGAAGAAAAAATCAACTTTGACAATCCAACAAAAGAATATTAAATATTTCTTTCGTTGGTGATCCTATCACCTTTCGCTTCCCAGCATGGATTTGCCTTCCTTTTCTATTCACATTCCTCCACCGCGTTCAAATCATATTTTCAGTTTCAACACAACGTCTTTGACTAATTTGTGCCCACTCACTTGAATAATATAATTACAGAGAAAGCGAGGGAAAAAAAAAAAAAAGCAAGAGACAAAACAAACACAGAGACCCCCACGTGAATGAGGGGATTATAAACCTCTCTTATCTTCCTGATAAATCTCTAGAGTCTAGACAATACACACACACACTCGTATTTAAATAGAAAATTTTAA